TCAAAATAGAGACCACTGGGGTATACTTTTATCACAAATATTCAAAAATGATCCGAAGTACTTAAAGTTACTTATTATATTCATAATTACCCGGATTTATTTTCTGTTTAATTCAGTTTTACCCAAATTTTCCAAAAAACCTAAAAAATAAGACCTTAACTAATTTATGTTTCGGATACTTCGGATATTCGTTCTATTCTCTGTTCGGTTCCAAATTTGATTCGGGTTTAGAGTACTACGTAGAAAAATTTACCTAGAATAACCTACTTTTTAAAAAGAATTACTAGGATAACCTCTTTAATTTTTTATTGTTCAGATAACCTACTTTACGTTTTTTTTCTTCATAATACCAAAAATAACCTTATTAAATAATTAATATTAAAAAAATATTTAATTTAAAAAAAATATTTCAAATAAGAAAATAGACACAAAATTTAACAAAAGGTTTGGTTGAGACCTGTTTGGTTTATTGCGCCCAATTCACCGGTAAATTGTTGACTGTGTTTCAACTTATCTGGCCTCGGCTTCTTTACAACGGTCCTAGCCTATGGGGAGGTACCGTTCAGCCATCCTAAGGGTTTATAATTGTTACAAATTCAGAAGTCTCCAAACATCAAGCGAGGACTTGATGGGCTGAAATCGCGTTTGGGTATTGACGGTTTTTTGATGATGTCTGATATGTTTCGGGTTCTTGGGTTCAACAAGTTAAATATGTTTGTGTGTTATAGCTAGTTTAAATCCTTCTTAACGCGCTAGTTCTAGTCTTGGTTTATTTTTTTTGTTTCTACGCTCCCCGATAATCTTTTGGACTACGTTCCTCGGTAAACTTTCGGACTTCGCTCCCCGGTAAACTTTCGGGCTTTGTTTTGGATGTATCTTTGTTTTCGATGTATCCGTTTGTAATGTTACCTGTTTTGTATAATATTAATCAGATGGAAAAAGTCACAAAATTTAAAAACTATTATCAACAAAATATAAAACACTCCAGAAGTCTGTCAATGTCTTTGCAGATTATGATTAATTTTTTTTGTAAAATCTACATTTTGGTAGAGTCTGCCAATGCCTTATTATAGTCTGCCAATGCCTCAACAAAGTCTGCGTTTTTTAGTTGAGTCTGCGTTTTTTTGGCACTGTCCGCCAATATCTCGGCAGAATCTACTAATGTTTTGGCAGACTGCGTTTTTCTAGATACTGGCAGACTTTGCGTTTTTCTAGTAGACGTTTTTAAAGTCTTCTAAAATATTAGTAGAATTATATCTCAGTTTGCTAGTCTACCAATATCTCGACAAAGTCTACCAATGTCTAGCAGACTCTGCCAATAGTTTGGTAGACTCTGCGAAGGACAATTTTGGTACTATGAAAGAAAAAAAAATCTAGAATGGGTTATTTCAGCAATAAAAAAATAGTAAGGTTATTCTAGCTATTTAAAAAAAAAATAGGTTACTCTAGCTAATCTCCCCACTACGTA